AAAAAAAAATAAAAAAATAAAACAATATAAAATAAAGTCTGGTTTGGTTGGTTTATAGTTAAGAGCTCTATGAGCCAGGCAGAAAATTACTCTTCTTTTCTAGATAAAGAGTTTATACGATCTTGGATTTATGCAAGTTCTAAAGGTTAAAATAAATCAAATTTTGTGGCTTCCATTTTAATCAATGAGTGATGCAATTATTAAGTCAATGTTTACTTTCAAAGTCACTGATTGCCATCATTCTGGCATACTGAAAAACTGCAAGCCAAGTAACCACAGAATGTGCTTGAACTGAATATTTTCCTTGAGATTTGTACTTATGTTTCAGCCTCAGTTCTACCATATGTAATCTACATGTCTTTGGTTTTTTAACTTTTTTCTTTGTTTGTTTTTCCTTAATTTCTATTTTTGTTAGTACATGATTACCATATATAATGAGTACATTAATTGTTGGGATTTGGTACATGTACATAAATTATCTTAATTCTTTATCACATCTATTTCCCTCCCTTTACATGTGTTTGGCCAAGGCACTGGATCTGTGAGGTCCAGCTTTCTCATACTAACTATAGTATAATTTTACTTTAGTCAAAGGTAATGGAAAGTATAGAAAGTGATACAATAAGTGTGAAAATTATCTGTTAATTTAGAGAATCCCAATAAACATAAGAGATAAAGCTTGTATATCTGGGATCTTGGCAACAAATTTTCATTATGAAAAGAGCGTATTTAATACCTAAGCTCACAAATTTTAAAAAAGTACAATGATATCTTGACAAGACACACCATTGCACAAATATTACTATGATTGATCTAGTAGTATATATCAATCCAATGACACATAGATTTATGAATACCAAATTTAGTCTCCCACTAAGATTTGCATAATGTGTCTTTCTGAGCTGGAAGTCCCTTTAATGTAGTCCCAGACTCCCATCCACCTTCAAAGCACGTGCGTGTTATTCTGTTACTGGTCTTGCTCTATTATGGTCTAATACTTCATTCCATTATTTCTCACAAGGACATACTAGAAAGCAAAAGAAGCAGACCTATCTGGGAGTGTCCAGGAGACAAAGGAGCCAAGTTTCTCAGGGCCTTCTGATTCAGTTCTCTGAGTTAGGCTCTTTTCTTGATTCTGAGGAACAAATTTTGCCTCTTATCAATGAAGAGGTGAACACTTTATCTGTGATCTTTCTTTTGTAGAATCTACAACCCAGATGTCCTTGGGATGAAATTATGGTCATCAATTTAACGTGAACCCTGATACTCTATGAAGAGAGTCAGTGTAGTGCATTCAGAGTAACTCCTTTTGGATTTTATTTTTAATTTGGCTTTTGAGACAACTGTGGTGTTAACCATTATTAACTACAGTAGGGATCACAAAAGCTCATTCAATTCCCAGTTTTGCCACCTGTGATCTGTGTGACATATTTCCTGTTCTCCTTTAATCTTCTTTTTCCCCACTTGACAAATAGAGGTAAGTTTTTTCCCCTTCAGTGTTTTAGGTGGTTTGATTATAAATGTCACGTATATTTATTTTGGTTATTCATTGGTATATGATTGGTTTTCAAAATGTATAACCAATGCTAGCTATTTTAGGCCCTGACAGTTATATTAGTTTGCTAATTTAAAATGTTTAGAAGATTGTTATTTTCAAAGACAAACTTTCCATTGTTTTATTAAGTAAAACAAGTTAAATATATTATATGCACATCTTATAATATATTGTTTTCCCAAAACCCACTGGTCATTAGTATTTGGTAGGGACAAGTATTTGGTAGGGACATTAGTATTTGGTAGGGACAAGTATCTGGTAGGGACAGCAAGAGCAAAGGTCATCTTTTCTTTATCAAGAAGGCAAAGTACCATCTAAAATGATTGCAGCTTATCTTCCTGGCTGATTCATCACTTTATATTTCAAAAGGACATCCCAGTTTAACAGGGAGCATTATAAAAACCTTTGATCACAGTTTATTCAGAAAGAACAGAAGCTTCAATGGATGCAGTTGTGGTCCTAGTGCTTGGTCTCTCCTGTCTCCTTTTTCTTTCATTCTGGAGACAGAGTTCTCAGAGAGGGAATCTCCCACCTGGCCCTACTCCTCTACCAATTATTGGAAATATCCTGCAGATAGATATTAAAAATATCACCAAGTCCTTAACTAATGTAAGTATGTTTTGGCCTCCTCTAAAGACTTGCAAATAGTAAGTAAATTAAACCTTATTTTTAAATTAAGTATATTCCTGGATCAAATTATTAGAAGAAATTATTGTACAGCAAATATTTTCTGTGAGATTCGATTTTTCCTTGCTTTTTAAAGCTTGCCATTGTTACAATACTGGAATAAGTTAGTGCATTTGCAATAAGAGAAACATTTAAATTGTCATGTTACAATAAAAATAATAAAATGGCAACGATCTGTAGTGTTCCAGCCCTTCATTGTTTCATAGTCATTTTTCTATGATTATTTTTTACTGAAACTAAATCATAGTGTTTTTTTAATGAGATGTTCCTCAAGAAGTTATCTGTAGCATGACCTATAGCCTTGATGGTGAACCTAAGGCATGTGTGCCACAGTGGGCATGCAGAGCCCTCTCTGCAATGATGTCATAAGTTATTCTCTCTACACTAAAAACTCAGTATTCAGGTTCATTTGCAGTGTTGGCACTTTGTGCTAGAAAAGTGGGCTTTGAGTTGCAGTTTGGGCACTCAGTCTCTAACAGGTTCACCATCCGTGACCTATAGATTTTATTCATGTTACTCATGAAAATTTAATTTTTCTGAAAAATCAAATTATGTTTGATATCAAGAAATACCTATGTGATATTAAAGTGTGCAATAGGAAATTCATCGGTAGAGGTTATAATAATTATTATACAAAATTCAGAAATAATTGAAATTAAACAGAAGAATAAAAATATAGCAAATAAAATTTGAGTAACCGTCTGAAACAATCAAATTTGTAGATCAAATAGTGATTTATTTTAGTAATATTTGCATTTACTGTTTTTTATTAGTACATGTTTGCAGTACATATTGTTTATATTCCTTGTGTGAAGTTGGTACATGGACATAACACATATTAATTCCTTTTTAAAATCCACTTCTCCCCTACCTTCCCCTCTCTCCATCTGTTGGTTCCCTTCCCATTTGAGGAATATCTGTCTCCCTCCTTCCTATTATTTATCTTTTATTTTGCTCTTTATTTCTTTCTCACTTACAGCTCTCAAAAGTCCACGGTCCTGTCTTCACCTTGTATTTGGGCATGAAGCCCACTGTGGTGCTGCATGGATATGAAGCAGTGAAGGAAGCCCTGGTTGATCTTGGGGAGGACTTTGCTGGAAGAGGGAGTATCCCAATATTTGAAAAAATTAATAAAGGTCTTGGTAAGTGTGCATGTTCATGTATGTACACATTTATGTGTTGGGCAGTGGTAGTGGGGATGAAGAGGATGGAAGCAAAGATTGGAAGGGCTCCTCGGGCAGAACTTGGTCATCTGTGTGGATGCCACATGTCAGCTCCCTCTTCCTTGGCTATATGTTCCTTCCTGTACCTCCTCCCCTTTTAGGAGTAATTTTTAGCAGTGGAAACAGTTGGAAAGAGATTCGGCGCTTCTCACTCATGACCCTGCGGAATTTGGGGATGGGGAAAAGGAGCATTGAGAGCCGTGTTCAAGAAGAAGCCCGCCACCTAGCGGAGGAGCTGAGAAAAACCCGCGGTGAGGGACTATTACCGACATTCATAGATACTACCCTCTTTTCTAGTGAGGTCCTGGAAATATTTCAGGGGGCAGTCAGAGCTTTCATGTTGTGTCTTGGATGTGAAGCCTCAGGAGAAGTGGAGGATGAAGCAGAGCCAGAGATTGTGTGTACCTATGTTGCATGTAAAGACATGAGTGTCCACACAATATCTATTAATCCTATTGTGGTTCAAAGTTCGGTTTTGTTTGTTTTGTTTTTAAATCAGAATTCATTAATATAGCATTTGCATTTCTTTCCTGAGTTAAGGAGCAGTATTTCCCCACACCATAAACCTTGGTAGCATATTCCAGATCATTTCACTAGAGATACTTAAGTGAACACCAAGGCAGTGACTCCAGCACACATTTAAGGAGCCCTCACAAGGTGACATCTGCCTTAATTTGATTGAACATTATTTTTATGACCAACTTCACTGACTTGTCTCTGAATTTCTTCTTGGTCCATAAATATAATTCTGGTTGGTAATGGTATAATGCATGCTTATCATTACTTTTTTGTATCTTAATAAAATTCTCAACAATTATTATTTCTTGTAAAAATTATCATTATTTCTTCTTGCACAGTAGTTAGTGTTTTTGTTTATATGATTTGAGAAATATGATATAGCATAAATCTGCAAAATACATAAACAGCAATTTATAAAAATGATTTATATAGCTATATTTTAACTATTGTTAGTAATTTTATCTAGTTTTCCTTAAGTGTATTCTGATACTAATCTACAAAGTATTTCTTCCAATGAATTTATCAGCTTATATTTTGAATTAATTGTTTTTAAATTTTCTCTCTCAAATGAAGTGAAAGAAAAGATGAAAAATCAGATTTTACCTGAGAATGACACACATCCACACAAACATGATACCCAAGGCTTCTGAAATTACTCCCATCTGATTGACTAAAATAAAACATTTTCTGAAAGCTTTTAGTCCAGTAATGTTTAAAGCGGCTACCCACAAGCAGCTACCTTAACAGGTTTCTTAAGGCTCAATTATTCTTTTTTAAAAAAATTATTCTAATATTTATTTGGAACACTTTCGACTCAAATCCCTTTTATTTAGGGTTTATCCATGTGAATTTGTGAGCCTGTTACACATAAAATATGTTAATATTTGATTATATCTATTTTACTATAGAGATCTCACCCAAAGTGAAACCTAACCTGTAATTTAATTTTTTAAACCTATAATATGAAACACTTCACATAAGTGATGTACAAAGTGTAAAATCCATCAAAACATTGCTTTGTTGATGGAAATATAGAACAATATCAAGGAATCCAAAATATCAATTTTTTCTAAATAAATTTACAATTTGCTTGGACGTGAAGGACATTTACTTGAAAAGAAGAGAAAGTCATTTTTTAAATTGGAATGAGAAAAAAGTTGACATTTATCAAATCTATGTTTTTCTTTGCTTTACCAGGAATTTATGTTTGGAAGAAAAGGTTGTCACTTTATTTATTTAAACAAAAAATTCATACTCTACTTAATGTTCTTATATTACTTTTTAAATATAACACAGATATATTCTGACTTTTGTATGTGTTTTTCCCTGTACATGAACTCATTCACAGTCTTTCCCTTCAGTTCCTGTGCACTGATTAAATACATAATTCATTATGCAAAAACAGTTCTAGGTCTACCCTATTCTCACAGTTTCTAACTCAATGCTGTATGTCCACAATCTTTGCAGATAGATTGATTCTCCTCTGACTACGTGAATTAGGTTTGTAAAGTCTTCACCTTCCTTCCAAAATAGCAGACAGCTGGGTTAAATTGTATAAGTGGACATGAAGTGACTACACCAAACTCTATTATTTAAACTGGCTAGATTATAATGTCCAGCTCAAGTTTAGGGTTACATTGACATAATCAATTTAAGTGTGCTTAATATTTTGCTGCTGGGGAAATTAATAGGTGAAGTAGTGCTTAAACTTTCTAAAGATTATTGACCTATTAACAAAGGCAAATATATTTTGATGGTACTTAAACAATGTTTCAAATTTTTTTAGGCTCACCCTGTGATCCCACTTTTATTCTGACCTATGCTCCCAGCAATGTGATCTGTTCCATTATCTTCCAGCATCGTTTTGATTATAATGATCCAATTTTTCTTACCATTATAAAAATAATGAGTGAAAATGTGAAGATTCTGAGTTCTCCATGGATGCAGGTGAGGCCAAAATCCATTCTTCCTAAGGAAACTTAAGGTCTTCTTTCTGGCAAGCCCAAAATTCTGTATGGACAAAACAGTGAAGTGATTGATTAAGTACTACTGTCCTGCTTAGAGCATTGTAGAGAAAACACCTGCAAAAGACATCTGAGTCCTTTAATATATACCCAAAAAATGAACGGCTAAATATCAGACTGGCATTCAAGCCTGTTACAACTTTACCCTTGATTTTCTCATTAAATCATAAAGAGCTGTTTCTATGAAGTACTTTGGTGACTCTCCAAAGGATGACAATGTCACTCAATGGACACCATGGCACTTTATGAAAACTTCCACTAAGGAAGCTGTTTTCCAATATACACTTAGAGATCTCTTCATTATATAACTTGGCAGAAATATTCCTATTTAAACAAAGAATATTCTCTTCAAGTAGGAAAATTATTTAGGGCAATGATAGCTACCAGGAACCACTGAATGGAGTAGGGATGTTTTATGCACTTGCTAGGATCCTAGCTGACAAGGTAACACTGTCAAGTATATGAAATGATTTGTTTAATGGGCAGATTTGTTTAATGAACCAGAAAAATCACCACAATTTTACTTTGCATTGAGTTTGCATGTTTTCCTACAGTCCGCACAAGTAATAATTATATGATTTTGGAGAAGTCACTTAAGTGCTTTTGCACACAATTGATCTTTCAAGCATCTTTGAGCCTGTCCCACTTCTAAAGTACTGATTCCATATCTAAAGCTGGTTGATAGAAATAAAAACTGTGGTATTAGCTTTGGGCTTTAAATTATGTTAATTAAACTCACTTAATTTTTGCCATCATCTATAAAATGTGAATGACAGGAATTTATGGGCTTTTGTATTTCAAGGTTGTACAGAATATTTGGTGCAAAAATTAACTGATAAAAATGTTTTTATATTAAAAATTAATGTATGTGTGTTAGAAATGATTATCACCTTTAATCGTTTGGACTTCTCTGCCTATCGTCTTCCTAACATAGATAATTATATGTATTTATGATAAAAATTTCCCCCTTAAGATGGGCAACATATCTAATTCACATTTATAGCTATACTTTTTAATAAGGTTTGCTACATGTTGTATATATCTTCACTGCATGTTTTTTATTTGATAATTTTTTTCCCTGTAGGTCTACAATATTTTTCCTGCTCTCATTGATTATCTTCCAGGGAGTCATAACACAGTAATTAAAAATGTGGATTATGTAAAAAATTATGTTGTGGAGAAAATAAAAGAACACCAAGAATCATTAGATGTTAACAACCCTCGGGACTTTATTGATTGTTTCCTGATAAAAATGGAGAAGGTGAATTGTTAACATATGCTGTTATTTTATTGCTTTTGCATTTTGTGGTTCAGTATCTTCCAGGAATGCATAAATTGTCAGGTAAGCAGTGCTTGGAAAGCTCTTCAAGTATTTATTATGTGAAGGAATCTGCACTAAAAATCCTGGAATACATAAAATTAAATTATTGTATAATTGCAATACATGGACCATTTTCTTCATATAAAAATAATCCAGCAGGAAAGAAATGTCATTTGCACTATAAAATAAACCCTGTTTTGTATTTGTTAAAAAAAAAAAATCTAGCAAAGTAGAAACAATGCACACAGTAAGTGAAGAGGTAACAATTTCCAAACAAGTTAGAAAATATCAAACTATGATGACATAATATGCAAATGGACATCATAATCGCACACGGTCTATGGGAGTATAGAAAAGTATGGCTCAATCAGGGTGGCCCTCCTGCATTCTTATAGATTGAAATTGGGCTTGAAATATTTGCATAGGTGAACAGAAGAGGAAATTCCAGATGGGGTGAATGGTGTAAATAGAGATGTGTGGTGGGAAAGAGTAAGTGCATGGAACACAGTAGCCTTTATTGAGTATAAGTTCAAATGAATTTGCTCAGATATGGAGTTAGATATTGCTCTCTACCAAGTATCCTGCAAGCATCAGCTATGATGTTCAATACTTTTATGTAGTGTTATATTTGGTTTACCAGTATTCCATTAAGATTTTTACTTTTATATTTGTAGGAAATTTAGGTCTTACCTTTTGGTGTCTTTGTCTTGCTTTCCTATCAGAGTACCCACAGGGCGTGTACTGTATTAGGAAGTATTGACATCTCTTATGATTTTGGAATAACTCAATTAAGGTTGATTTTAATTATCTTGAAAACTTGTGGTAGAATTCACAGTGCAGACACCTGGTCTTGCACCTATCTTTCTTGGGAGTGCTTGATTATGAATTCAGAGTACTTATTTGTTGCCATTCTTCACATTTTCCTTTTCACTTTGAGTCATTTTGGTAATTTGTGTTTCTAGGAAATTTTCTATTCATCTAGATTGTATCATTTTGGGTGCACAATTGTTCTTCATACACTCTTATCATCATCCTTTTATTTATATAATATCCACAGTTATGTCCCTGTTTTCATTCCTGAGTTTAGATATTGACATCATCATGCTTTTATTTATTTAGTCAGTCTAATTAAGGATTTGTCAATTTGCTGTCAGTTTTCATTGATTATTCTTTTCATTTTCTATTCTTTTTCTTTCTTTATTTTTGATTCTACTGGAACTGAGCATAGTTTTCAGGTTCATTTTTTTTTTTAAGTTTCTAGGTTGTAAAGTTACTATGATGATTTGAGTACCTTTTCTTTTTTTGGTGCGGTGGGTGGGGGTTTACTTTGAATTGAAAGTAGGGCCTTGACACTGAGCTTCATCTCCAGACCTTTTTAATTTTTTTTAAAATTTTGAGACAGGTCTCAATAGATTGTTAAATTGACCAGGCTGTGCTTGACCTTGAAATCCTCCTTATTCAGCCTTCCAGAGGGCAGGGATTACAGGTGTGTGCCAACACACTTGGCACCTACTTCTCTTTAATGTAGATGTTTACAGCTCCAAGTATTGCTGTAATTTTTCTGCATAGCATTATTTTGCTGTGATGTGATTTGATTTACATTTATCTCTGAGTATTGTCTAGTTTTCTTAGTGATTTCTTCATTAATCCATTGCTTGTTCAAAACTGCATTATTTAATGTCTAAATTTCCTTCTCATCAATTTCTCACTTCATTCCTCTGTGGCCAGAGATACTTTGCATAATTTTGATATGTGAAAACTTGTTCAGAATTGTACATGAACTAACAAGTGTACTGGGAAAACTTTGTTGCCTTTAGAAAAATGTGTATTCTGCTATTGTTGAGTGAAAAGATCCATATGTATCAGTTAGGTATAGTATTTGTTCATTTGATAACTAGTATTTGTTCATTTACTACAATTGCTTATTGATATTTTACCTAGATATTTTGTCAATTATTGGAAGTTGAGTATTTAAGTCTCCCACTTTTATTGAAAAACTATTTCTCCTGCAATGTTTCCATCATATGTTTTGGGGCTCTCTTGATTGATACGCATAAACTAGCAATGTTATGTTTTCTTGATGAATTCAGAGTTTTTCTAAGACATTATTTGTTTCAAAAATTTTGTTTGGAATCTTCTACTGTGTAATTTTAGAGCTATACTATTGTGTTTGGCTGTTATTTATGCAGAAAATCATTTTCCATTCTTTCACATTCCGTGTATTTACATCTCTGCGGAACAAAGTGAATGTTTTAAAGGCTGCAAATAGTATTTTTATCCTTTCAATATCTGTATTTTAAATAAATTCAATTTGTTACCGTTGAAATGATTAACAGTCTTGAAAAATTTCATTCTCATGTAATACAATCACTTTTATATTTTAATTTCTCATTTTTTCTAATACTACCTTATTTTCCATTTGAACTTTTAATTCCAATGAACTTTTCAATTCCCTCTTACTGTCTTCTGTGTGTTTCTTACAATTGTTTTCCCATTACTGTGGGGATTACTGTAAACATCCTAACTTTTAAAAATCCAATTTGAACTCAAACTGTTAGCTTCAAACTGTATACACTTAAATTTCCTCTCACTAAACTCCATCCTTTATGTTCTTGTCACAAATTACATGTTTATACATTTTGGGCCCAGAACATATTCATAATTACTGTTTCGTGAATTTTCTTAAAAATAATATAAAAACTAGTAAAAGGGTTAAATACAAAATTCAATTTATAAAAATGTATTAGAGTTATGCTTAACAAGGAGTTATATTGCATTGTATGTATTAATATTATGTCTATGTCCTTTCTTGTAAGCTTGATAGCTGAGTGTCCTTAGCATTTCTTGTATGGCAGATCTACCCATGAGACACTGCATTATCATTCATTTTATCTTAAATGTCTTAATTTTCCTATATTAATGAATCACTTCTTCCTGCTTCCAGTGAGTTCTCTGTGTCTTTAGTTTTTAATACTTTGATTCAAATGTGCTTTCCTGTGAGTCTCTAATTTCATACTACTTGGATTTTATTGAGCTTCCTACATGTGTTCATTCATGATACTCTCTTTAAATTTGAAAGTTTTGACCTGTTATTTCCACAAATGTTTTTTGCCTCTTCCTCTCTACTCCTCTGGAACACCCATGAATTGTAGATCGTTGTAATTTATTAAATTCCATAGGTCTCTTGTCTCTATTCACTTTTTCTAGTTTCATTTACTTTCTGTAATTTAAACTAAGAAATTTCTGTTGTTCTGTTCTCATATTTGCTTTTTATTTCTTCTGCTGGCTCTGATCTCTTGTCGAAACTCTCCTTTGAATTTTTTCTTTTGTTTATTGTATTTTAAGATTCATAATCTCCAGTTAAATATATTTTCCAAAATTGATACTATTTTCAACTTTGCACACATTGCTTTTCTGATTTATTATTAGTCCTGTAGATAGTTTCCTTAAGCTTTCTGAAGATGTTTAACATAAAGGTTTATCTAGTAATTTTGATATTTGTTTTTCCTCAGGCATGGTTCATGCTAATACATTTCTTGACTATTAATGTACTATACAGTATTAGTGATTTCTTTTGATACAGTGTAATTTTTGTTTTCTTGGCTAGATCTTTAATATACTGTAATTTCAAGAAAAAAGATATTTACAGTCTTCCAGGTAGTATTGTTGTTTCTTAAGAAAGGCTGCATGAATTAATCCACTTAGTGACTTTTACAAATAACTTTTGCAAAGACATTTCTCATCATCTGTGAGAAATCAGTTGAATCTTACCCTTATCCTACTGTTACTAGCCAGTTGGTGACTGGCTAGAGATTTCTTTATACTCCTGAATCTAATAAAAAAAAAGAAAAGGGAAAGATGTCATCCTGTTTCTTTAAATCCCTCACTTAATGCCATTGAGAAGGTTCATTGTTCCATGAAAATGAAACAATGGCCAATGTCTGTGCCAGCCTGTCAGCAATCAAAATTGCAACCTTGATTTTTGGAGGTGAAGGTTTCTGTTGCCCAGTCTGGGACAAGTAAGCTGAACAACACAGAAAAGTCTTCCCAAAACTACCTGCAGCAGAACTGTTTTATGGGGAATGGCAGCCTCTATGTGAGATGCCAAATTTACTCAAATTTATCAGGTGCTGTGTTCATCAATCACTGCACATGACACTGAAGTTGTTTTCCTAGAGCCAAAGATCCAAAATAATTGCACTAGACTATGTAAATTCAGTGGCTATTTTGGTTGGGGAACCATTTCCCTTACTTTCTTGTTAGCATCTTTGTCATGTTAACCTAGCCATACCATCATAAAAATAGTTCTTCCAACTATAGTGTGGAATGCACTTCTACATATTTAGATTGTCTTAAATTGCTTTATTTAGCCTATTTTAAGCATCCTTGGCTATGTTCTTCTACTCTGCAAATTCACTTCAACACATGAAAATTTTAAATTATTTAATGTTATGGAAAGATTAACATATTTATAATTATGGATATTAATGATCACCTATACTTAATATTTAAAAATGCAACATTGTTGATAATTCTGTATCATATTACCTCCTCAAGCCTAAATGGAAGCCTTATGGTCTGCATTAGCTGTCCTCTCTCCTTTATCCCCTTTGGCACATAGAGTATCAAATGCCTTTTTTTCATAATTGGATATCACTCTAATTTGCACAACCACATTAACACATTAACTGTTTTTTATTATTTATAATTATGGTACATAATGATTACATTCATTATGGGGTATTGGTAAATGTACACATCTCAATTCCTTTTTCCTCTTCCCCCATTCCCCCTTTTAAATCAATATAGAGATTCCTGAAATAACTGAAAATAGAAATTCTATTTGATCCAGCTAGTCACCTTCTAAGTATCTTCCCCAAAGAGTTAAAGACATCATACTACAATGCTGTATGCTGTTTATAGCAGCACAATTCATAATAACTAAATCTTGAAAGCAGCCTATATACCACCAACAGGTGAATGGATTAAAAATGTTGTATTTATAAATAGCACAAGTCATACAATGGTGTATCAATCTGTCAAAAAGAAGGGTAAACTTGAGTCATTTGTAGGAAAATGTTTGTACTGGGAGACCACAATGTTGATAGATTAATTCCTGCTCTTGTTCTTTAGACCAGTTGCCTTTTGCTTTCCATCTGCACTCCTCTATTGCTAAGCCAGGTTTTCTTCATGATCCCTTTCTTCTTCCCTGGGATTATTTCCATATTTTACTGCTTTATTAGCTTTTAATGATTTCAGCTTCATAGCCTGTAGACAATATTGATCCCATGTGAGTGTTTGAAAGAATTATATTAAAGATTCTTGACTTAAGCTTATAATATTTAGCATATGATCTTTCTTTTCCTATTTTTATTAAATAAAATAATGTTTCTTTATAAATAAGAGAAAATCTAATTATTAATGCCTTAAACAAAGAATGAGGGTTTTTTTTGTTCAAGTTAAAGATTCTCATAGTGGATAATCTAGTGGTAAATGGGTAGCCTCAAAGTATTAGAAAGCCAAGTACCTCTGCTTTTCTTCACTATAGTTAGCATATAGGTTTCATTTTTATGATTAAATACTCATCTCCTTAGATGCTGTCATATCTTCTTCACATCTGTGTTCTGAAAAAGGAGAAAATAGAAAAGAGAGCATCAATATGCTTTTGCTTATAACTTTTTGAGATATAAATATTCTGGATGGCACACTTTGCAAGGCAGGGTCTCACAAACAGAAATTTTAGGCAAGCAAGATGTGAGTTGTAGGAAATGAAGTTTAAGTCATTTGAACTAAATCTGTAGTTTCTCCTAACATGGCACTCTCCAGGATTTGTATTGGCCAATTTTATAACATCGTCAATTATTTCAGATTCAGTCTGAAAAAATATGCTGGATAGTAATTTATCCCAATATCACACCAAATCATTCCTAGGAAAACAACAGTGAAATTTTGAAGTTTACTCATGAAAACTTGGCTATCACTGTGTCTGATTTGTTTGGTGCCGGGACAGAAACAACAAGCACAACACTGAAATATGCTCTCCTGCTCCTGATGAAACACCCAGAGGTTGTAGGTATGACCAAAGATGGCAGGCAAGTGAATCTCAAGAAGATGTTAGAAAGATGCTGTTAGTGTCTTTCATCTTGTGTCTTGGCAAAATTTCACTAATGTTCTGTCCCAGCAGCAGTGCTCTGTCCATGTATAATGATATAATTAACATGCAATGTTTTTGCACATGATGAAATTGTACTTGAGAAAAGTGAAGACAGCATGACAATAAGAAAAGGAAGAAAATCTTGGTACAGGGTAGATTGCATGGAGATAATTTTTCACAGGAATAGTCAACATCAATTAACGTGGGTCTGCTTTTTATTATGAAAAGATAATATTTTATACCACATAACTTGTTAGAGAATTTTCCTTATTCTGATAATTCCATAGGGTAGAGAAAAAGAAATTCTCCTTAGTGAATCATAGTAGAAAAAGGTTACCTGAGACAATTTTAAATCTTGGAAATATTTTAAAAACTAAGATTTGTTATAAATATTTCAATTTAGGCAGAAGGTCCTCCCTTAGAAATGTTATTATTCTACAAGTTTATTTCTATAAAATTTTGTTCAACAAAGCCAGAATTTTTGTGGGGGTTAAGAGAGGTCTGTGATGTTATCTTTTATGAAAGCTATTAGTAGATTAGTTTAGTTATAGGCCTGGTGCAGTAGCATATACCTGCATTCCCAGCACTGTGGTAGGCTGAGGGAGGAGGATCCCTAGTTCAAGACTAGTCTGGGAAACTTAGTGAAACCATGCTGTGTGAGGACATGGCTTCAATCTCCAGTATCACATGCACAAAAGTAAAGAAATAAAAAGCCCAAGATAACAAGAAACTTATTTTTAAAGTTTCATTTTTTTCAGCATGTATGAAACATTTAATTTTATTCTGTTTCAGGATTCTCTTAAAGTGATGATAACATAGCTGTGAATGACTGTTGGTCTTTTTATGGTAGATGAAAAGAATAAAGAGCCAACAAATTTTTAGAAAAATATTTGAAGCACAGAGAGGAAAGTTAAGGATGATAACTGAGCAATTAGGATAGAGTTATAATCTAAATGTCAGAAAAGGAAGGTTGATGAAGGAAGAAAAGCAAGCAGTGGTCCAACAATCTCTTTGTGGATCCTTATTTGCTAATAACAGGTATCAATGAAGGTGGAGAATCAGGTTGAAAAGGAGACTCCTTCTCCTATGCATTCATCAAGTGACCCCTTTTCATCCACAAGAAAAGAGAGTCTCACTCCAGAGAAAACTTCCTGGCAAGGCTTGTACTCAGGGATCTTGGATAGTGACAAGTTCTGAGGTACAGGGCAGGAAAGGCAGTTTTTCTTTTGTTTCGTTTTTTTTTGTGCCCGGGATCGAACTTGGGTCCTTGTGCTTGCGCAGCAGGCGGTGAAACTACTGAGCTAAATCCTCGGCCCAAGAAAGGCAGTTTTGATAAAGGTCTACTTTCATTCATTGACTCTGAGTTCTTTTATCTATCTTCCTTTCTGCAATTCAGCAGACAGAAATATAAGAGAGTGAAGAATTGTGAAGTACAAACTTTCATGTTTTGATATCTTATAGAAATTCTTTCCAGGAATCCAGCACACTGAAGGAAATAAAAGTATCCACCTAAGACACAGGGTCATGGAATTTCAGAACACTAGAATTCAGGTAAAAAATTGTGGAATCTTTCAGAGAGATATACTAGGTCAAATATGAAAGATTATTATCAGAAATCGCATTATTAATAGAAAATGATATTTTTAGATATATATATATCTATATATCTATATATCTATATAGATATTTGCAAAACATTCTATGCACTTTCTTCCCATGTAGATCCATTCAAATCTCTAAAGTTATTTCAGAGGAAGTCATGGGCTCCAGTAATTGACAGAGCTCACAGAGGAGGATGAGAGTATCAGGCAGGTGGCTCAGCATGAGGCATAGAAAACATCTACTTCACAATGGACCAGGTGGATGACGAGAGTATAAGGAAAACACTAGGAACAAAGAAGTGATGGGTAGTCTGTAGATTCCCAGTCACTGGGAATTTATATATTCTTAGAGTCTGAACTATCTACCTGATAATTTATTAAAAAATCTAATTCATGAAATTGAAAAATATAAACTATAATAAAAAATTTCAGTCAAAGAATGTATCAAACATGATCATACTTTTCTTACCAGGGAACAGTATTTACATGGTCAGAAAACTCAAGCAATGAATGTTGGGATAATCAACATTATTCTCTAATGTATTCTGGTGAATCATTAGGGGAAGTCTTGTGCATGGATGTATTTTTCTGTACCTCTTTGTGTTTAAAACACTTCCAAGAGTTGACATGTGTTTATATATGGAACTGAGAAATGAAAATGTTCATCTTTTATACCAGCAAATTGATGTATATTTTCTACAAATAGATAAATAGATCCTTGTATAGAAATATGATTATAATTTTCAGAAGCAGCTACTAGAACACTCAAAGTAACTACACTTGAGAGATGGAAGGATGATAAGTGTGCCACTGTTCACACATACAAATCATATGCACATGTATAGATCAATTGCAATTTAATTTTAAAAACCTATTATTTTGAGGTAAATTTAATATTTGATTCCTGTTTGTTGCTTTGTAAGAACTGTAATATCTTATCCTTATTTTTTCCATTTATTTTTGAAAAGTTTATTTAATTCTATTTATATTAGATATCATGCATGGTACTTCACAATTATTTACTGATGTATCATAACAATGAGTTTTCAGGAAAGTGGGATGTGTCTAATTGTGGCAAATCCCCTTATACATCTAAATAAACCTCAGGGCATATAACTCATATTTATAATGCTGTTGGGACACTTTCATCATGTTCCCTGTATTCCTGAATTGCTGTGACAAATGTGCCACTTTTCTCTGATTCTGACTTTTCTTCCTGTGTCTTACCAGCTAAGGTCCAGGAAGAGATTGACCGTGTGATTGGTAGGCACAGGAGCCCCTGCATGCAGGACAGGAGCCACATGCCCTACACAGATGCTGTGTTGCATGAGATCCAAAGATACATTGACCTCATCCCAATCAATCTGCCCCATGCAGTGACTCGTGATGTTAAATTCAGAAACTACACCATTCCCAAGGTAAGCTTGTTTCTTCTACCCTGCACCTCAGGGTTGACATCCCCAAATTCAACATGTGATTTCAATCCTCTACCAACAGAGACAAGTGTAAAAATCTTACATTTGACTACTTAGTGGGCTTTGTGCTGCTCCTGGGGGACTCTAAATCTTTCTTATAGGTTTCAATATCTGGACGTGTGCATCATCCAAATTTGTTTTCAGATTTCATAATGACTGGGTTATTGTCAGACACTTACATTTCCATATGAATTTTAAAAGTTCAGTTTGTCACATTCCCAAAAGACACAATCTTTTAAAAATCATGGTGACAGTAAATTTATAGGTAAATTTGGAAATAATTGATATGTTAGACCTATTGATAATCTCAGTTCATTGATAAAGTTATTTTTCCAATTTGGGAGGTTATATGTTTTCTGTACTGTTTTGTTTTCAGTGCTGGGGTTTATAAATCTTTGTTGAATTTTTACTACATAGAATTTTTAATAATGCCTTTGCCATTTGTTTGTACCTGAAATGTAGAAACTAGATGTTTTGTTCACTGTATTGATCTTATGTTTACTAATCTTGTGAAATTTAGTACTATTTGCCAATGTTCCTTTGCAGATTTATTTGGAATTTCAACTTACATATCCTGCCATCTGAGTTAATGACTTTCATTTCTTATATTTCAATTCTTCCATTCTTAATTTCTCCATATTGTCTTATTGCACTGATTAGGATTTCCAGGGTATCATTGAACAGAACTAGTGGTAAGGGTCATTCTTATTTCACATCAATTCTTCAGAAAGGAGTGAAAGTTTAAAATCTCACTTTCAAGGATGATGATTTAAGTACAGTACATCGTGAGAGATATTCTCTATCAGATTAAGAAAGCTTGCCCCCTTCTATTTACAAATTTTGGTCATGAAAATGTGTACAAATTTGTCAAATCTTCCTTGAATCAACTGGTAGAATGTACATATTGACATTTTCCTCATTAAGTATGCATATTATAAGACTAAATACATAGTTACATATGATCTGCTACATATTATTCATGACTTCTTTATACTAATATGAGATTGTGGTCAATAGTTTTTCTCCTCAAATGTTTCTTGAAAGATTTTTTTGTATCATAAGAATACTGGCTGGATTAAATTAAGTGAGAAATGTTTCCTAATGAGAGTCTATTTTTACTTCCATTCTTCTATGATCACTCATGCTGAATATTATACATGAGAAATGCAGACTATCAGACCAGACAACGGTTATCTTCTTCCAGAAAGGACTTACCTTAACCTGGAAGTCAGGTTGATGTCAAATTTCTGGCGGTGATTCAGAACTGCCAGGAACAGAACTCAGTGGGAAACATGGTCTTTAAATTATTTCTCTAGTTTTGTCCCAATTCTGGAAGACTGAGATAAGATCAGATTTTGTCTTAACAGTTTTGCAATGCTCTCTAACACATGGTTTCTACATTTATCCAAATACTCTAATTTCTATGTTACAAACTACCTATTTCACTTGAGCCCAGGGCAGATAATATTATTTAAAATAAATATAACTAAGTGCTGTATTTTTGTGGTAAAAAAAACTAATGATGGGTGAGGTTTCAATTACTATGTCATTCCATGGAGATGATGGAAATAATGTTAACAACTGGTAGTAGTCTTTTTCTAGTGATGACAGTTTTGGTATAAGGGTGAGCACATCAGTCTACTTTGTTTTCAAACACCAAGAACAAGACTTTTACTTCTTAATGTTTGTGTTTGTGGATAACATTAACGAAACTTGTTTATCCCCTTATACCTAAATAATTAAAGGAATCTGATTGAGGAATCAGACAGAGATTGCCAGTCTCCCAGATCCAATAATCAGCTGTAAGTACCAGTTTGAGGGGAGCATCACATCTCTGAGTTCAAACCCATTCATTCCTCTGCTTGTTGGCTTATGTTATGACTGGGCTTTTTGGAGTCTATATGACTCATTCTTCCCCTTCTTCATGGAATCAGCCTAATGCAGAAATAAGCAGCAGTGTGGGGATGATTCTACCCGCTTACAAAACAGATAAATTATTTTTCTTACCACAGGCTGGGGCCAGTGATCTCAGCGGAGATAATGGTCTAAGATATATGTACACAAACATTTTCTATAGTTTGGCTTATAAACCATATGTCAGACTGTGGACTTCAAGCAAGGATTTTGCTGCCACTTTTGAACTCTGTCATTGTGTACGGCACAGACAATATGTAAATGAATGAGGAAATCATGTTCAATGTTTACGGCATGTGAAGTTAAAATTTAAATTTTACATATCAATATTCTTTCTCTTTTTATTGTACTTTCACTTTGAACATATTTACCTCACATATGTCAAAGCAGACCCCAGGCTTGCTTAAAGCAGATAGAACAGATTCCCATCAATTAGAACTTTCTGCAATAATGTACATGTATGGGTTCATAATGCTATCTGAAGAAAATTTGATAGCATCAGACCCCAAAGATTTACTTTATCTTTTTATAGATCTTTACTGTTTTAGCTTTTTTAAAATTTTATTTTTAATTTATTTTCCATTAAGTTTATTGATACATTTTAGATATAAAATACAGTTACATTCATCATTGGGATCTTGTACCTTTCTTATTTTTTTCCCCTTCCCCTGCCCTCCCTTCACCCCCTCTACCCTTCCCTATTTGTAAAGACTTTGTTTCCATTTTTTTCCCTTTTCTCATATTTTTTCTTTTCCTTTATTTCCTTTCCCCTACCCCTCCTACTTTCTCTACTCCTTTACAACTTTTCTTCCTATTAGACAATATCAATCATACATTTTAAAAATTACAATATCAAAATTTAGAGGACATTACCACAGATTTTATGGAATTTAAAAGGATATAGAAAGCATATTACAAAAATCCTTTTTGAAATAAATTTGACTTCTTTTTTAAATTTTAAAACATATAACTTTATTATCAAACACACACATATACAAAAATTTAAATTATTCAAAGAAAAAACAATGCAAGGGAAAAAAAACTATAACAATATTCAAATATAGTAGAACTCAACCAAAACAAAACTGAAAAGTACTTAGACATTTTTACATATAATTTTTTTAAAAATCTCATGCATTAACAAGACATCAGAGGATGTGATTTGTTTGAAAAAGATTTTCAAAGATAATACTGAACAAATAGTGCTCTGGGAAATAATTCAAGTTAGCTAGTAGACTCCACATAGGCCAAAATTTTCTTTTAATTTAAATTTCAATACAGTCATATGACACGTGATGGAAATGTAATCTGAGAAACATGTCATTAGGCAATTTCATCCGTGTGTATCACAAAATACCACACGGAGTGTCAACTTCTAGTGCAAACTGAAAAGGTATAGGTAGATCATCTGTGATGGCCCCTTGACATTATCCAAATATGCAAACACCAGATACATGAGGCTACCACTGGCATAGCAGCACACTCTTTTACAGTAAACTCTTATACAAATAGGATTATGCTCTAAAGGATGAAAACCATAGCATGTTATAAGTATCTAAAACAGTAACAGTCATTTATCACACTATCGAATACTGTGTACTGTACATAGTTGTATGAGCTTCTTCTGGAAACATACCCTTCTCTCTTTTGAACTCAGTGACTCTTCCTTCCTAACCCACTGATGAGTGCCAGCCTAATCTCTATCTACATCTCTTGCTGTAATTTTAGACACTATGTATGGATTCTCACCAGATTTAAGCCTGTAACTCTGATCTCTCCCATTCTCCTCCTACCACCCCTATCCCTTTGAAACTTTTCTTCGTATTTCTATCAATTATTTGTTTTAGTCATTTTAATCCTTAATTATACTTTCAGTTTCTCACACTAGAGAAACTACTTGATATTTGCACATATATGTCCTATTTATTTCACTTAGAGGATGGCCTCAATATGTACTCATTTAGCTCTGAAAGTCTCTAGTTTCTGGTTCTTTATGGCTGAGTAGTACTCCATTTTATTTTTAAAAACCCACATTTTCTTTATCCAGCCTCCAGTTGATGGGCACTTGGGCTGTTTCCAAGCTTTAGCTATTATAAACTGTGCCACTATAAACATGGATGCACATATATCGCTGTGGTATGACTCTTTTAATTCTTTTGGGAAGATACCCAGCAGGGGGATAGCTGGGTCGAATGGAACCTCTAGTCCTAGTTCTTTGAGGTATCTCCATACTGATTTCCACAGTGGTTGTACCAGTCTGCACTCCCACCAACAATGGAGAAGGGTTCCTTTCTCTCCACATCCCTGCCAGCATTTGTTATTGGTTGATTTCTTGATAGCAGCCATTCTTTCTGGGATGAGGTGGAATCTCAGTGTTGTTTTCATCTGCATCTCTCACATAACCAGTGATGTTGAATATTTTTTCATATATTTATTTGCTGCTTTTACTCCTTTGTCTGAAAAATGTCTGTTCATTTCAGATGCAAATTTTTGAATTGGGTCTTTGAATTTGGGGAGTTAGATTATTTTCAGTTCTTTATATATTCTAGATAGTAGTCCCTCGTCTAAGGTACAGTTGATGAAAAATTTTTCCAACATTGTAGGTTGTCTCTTAGCTTTGTTGGTGGTTTCTCTTGCAGTGCAGAAACTTTTTAATAAAATGAGAACTCAGATGTTGATTCTTTGTGCAAGTTCCTGTGCCACTGAGATTTTGTTCATAAAGTCTTTTACTATGCCAAGTTCTTCAAGAGTTCTACCTAACTTGTCTTCCAGCAAATTTAATGTTTCTGTCTGCATATTTAGATCTTTAATCCACTTAGATCTTAGTTTAGTGCATGGTTATAGGTATGGGTCCAGTTCTAATATTTGGTAGGTTGAAATCCAGTTTTTCCAACACCATTTATTTAATAGGCTATCTTTCCTCCAATGAGGATGGTTGGCTCCTTCGTCAAAGATGAGGTGGCTGAGCATATCTGTAGTTGTTTCTGATTCTTCTAATCTACTTTGCTGAGTCTCAGGTCTGTTTCTTT